TATATATATATATATATATATAATGTTTATACACAGCTTGAATAGCAAGACTGTGTTCAGTTTTAACTTTCTTCCATTTTGTATCTTTAGGTAAGAATAAATAGCACTTCATCCTGTACTTATAGTGTCTTTCATTCCAACATAAGAAATCATTTCTGGAATCTGCATTTGAAATAGCATTTAGATGTATTCAAACAGTTTAATGTATCTCAGAGGGGACATGGGTGCATTTAACCTGCAGTTACAGATGGATAAATATTGTTTTGTTTTAACGTGTTGAATACTGATATTTGAAAGGATTTAAAAACATGAAAAACATTTGTCGAAATGTGAAATTAAAACCGCCAGAAGGTGTCAGCAAGTGACTTAATTGTTAATGAGTGAGTCATTGAGATTCAACCGATTCATTCAAACGGCTGATTCATTCAGGAACAAAGCAGTTGACTGTGTTAATGAGTGACTCACTGAATCATTTATTCAACCAATTCGTTCAAAAAGCTGATTCATTCAATAAGTAAACACCATTGCTCAAAGACGCAAAACAGTGCTGTGAACTATTTTCGTTGGCAAAATTGAGCAAACACAAGCAATATTATGTCTAAAATGTAAGTCACTTATTGCTAACTTTACTGAGCGTGTATAAAAATGATTATTAAATTTGTTATGCTGATATCTGCAGAAAAACGCCTACTCTTTGTGTGATATCAAGTTAACTATATTGAATTATATAAATATAAAAAAGCATACAGAAGCATTTTTGCCGTCTACAATTTCGAATGCCTTGAATTTTTTATTTTAATAGACTAATAAATCACGTGTGTTCACTCTGTGTGTGTGATTTGGTGATATACTTGATAATGTCAGATCGCACATCATTAAAACAACACTTACCATATTATCGCAGATATACTGTATCGCACACCCCAGACTCGACTTGAGTGGAAAATGAATCATCCGCGGTTGTGCGCGCACTTGTTTGCACATGAGCAAAGGTGTTTTTTAGGAATCTAACTTGCAGACACCAGACCACTGATTCGTCAAACCTGCTTTCTTGCAGTCTGTGTTCTTCTGACTTTTGTAGTAAGTAGCGAATATGTAAGTAACGAATATGCTTCGGGGAAATGTATCGGAGTAAAAGTACGCATTTTAATTAGGAAATGTAGTGGAGTAAAAGTAAAAGTTGCCTGAAATATAAAAACTCAAGTAAATTATAGATACTCCCAAAAAATACTTAAGTACTGTAATGAAGTATTATTACTTTGTTACATTACACCACTGTGTATATATAAATACATACACATACAGTATATATATATATATATTTAAACATAACATTTTTCTTGAATATATACACATGTAAGCCTGTCGCAATAATCAATATATTGACTTATCGCACAATATGTCCTCAATCATTTTTGGTGACACAATATATCACCCATTATATTTACTTTTTTTTGCATTCCATTGCGCCTGTCTTTTGCAGCTTCTCGTACATAACGTGGTGTAGTCATGACTCATGAGGTGCTAGTTCAAATAAAAAAAAATGCTTCTACACAAAAGTTTCATCTGCAGATATGGCCATGTTTAAGGATCTGTGCTTTTCTGCATGCGGACATCTGACTGCTAACTCAGGTTTAGCGGTTTCAGCTTAAATGGAAGGAACATTTAGGTTAATAATGAATGAGTTGAGGTCAGCATTCAGAATTAAGCATGTGACGACTGCTAGTTTGCCCTATACCTTTTAGTGGAAATGAGAAAGCAATCCACAATTCCTGCAGTTCATTTTTGGATGCTTTGGGTCATGCAAGTATACAGGTCATATTTTACACCATACATCATAATTTGTTCAAATATGCTACCAGAAGTAATCAGGTCATTCATTTCTCTGCTGCATTTATCAAGAAACACTGATTTCTTTCTTAGCCCAACAAATTCCTCATTCATATTACGAGGAAAAGGTGCATTAAAATTCTCGCTTTCTCTGCCCAACTGCCCCTTTTCCACCCAGTAGTCCGGTTAAAGTCCTCTGAATGAGCAGGTTGTGTCTGAAGCCAGAGAGATTTTATGAGATAATGGATCAAATGAATTTGGTTCTCCGAGTCCAGCTGGCAAAAGCGTTTCCAGCCCCGTTTTCCACCAGAGAGCATAAAAATCGCTCTTATATAAGATCATGCTGAGAAATATGGGTGTGATTAGCATAAATCCTAGTTTCACTTGTTCCTAGCGAGCATCCTGTAACACTCGTCCTATTGTCAAAAGGCGGATTTTCTCTCGGATGTCAGACGTTCCCTCTGCAATCTTCCTGCAGGAAAGAGGAAGAGGAGGAGAGAAGGATGAAGATCTCCAGCCCTTCCTCTCCTGCAGTGCAGTACGAGAACATCGTTCGTCTTGCAACTCCCAAAACCCGAGGAAGAAGCGCCCAGGAAGTGAAGTAAGAGGTCAAACGAAACCCTGGACACATTCATGAGATCTTTCCAGAACTAAAATTAGCTCCTGCTGAGGAGGAAGCCAAAATTCAACATCTGTTTTTTCAGTAGCGCTCTGTGTGTGTGAGAGAGAGAAAAAGAGAGAAGATGCTGTCAGACAATAGACCACTGTCTGGTGTGTAACCTCTGGCAAGTCTTGTGTTTGACCACAGAGGTCTTTTTAAAATCTTAAAATCACGATCTCAGATCTGGGCCCAATTTCATCTCCAAGCTGTTTTACAGACAAGCATATCGAGTCAGTTTTGTTGTTGTATAATTTTGTTTGTGAAGACTTCATGTCGCTTATGTTTTGTGAGAATTCTGTGGTAAATAAGTCATCTGCATGCAGGCCATTATGTTCATTTCTGGATTCAGCTGAACAGTTTTTTGTAACCTGTGGATTTTTGTTACATAACATCTTGAGAGCATGTGCGCTGTGAGCTAGAAGAAAGCAAACGCAGCAGATGATTTTTGCAGGTCTTGGTATAAATAAGTTGCCATGTTAGAAAAAAAAAAGTATGTGCGTTATCAGCAGGGTTATTGTTAACTAAAACCTAAAAAAAATATCATTTCCATAACTTGAAATAAACATTAATTAAAAAAATATATAAAACAAACTTTAAAAAGTTTATTTCAGCTAGTTGCTAAAGGCATGTATAAGGTCTTTTATATAATATGTTTCTTTTGTATAAGGCAACAGAAACATATGTGACCCTGGAGCACAAAACCAGTCTTAAAGGGATAGTTCACCCAAAAATGAAAATTTGATGTTTATCTGCTTACCCAACTGATTTGTTAAATCAAATGAAAAATTGTGTGTTTGATTGGTCCAGACGCTACAAGTCTGTCAGTCTTATAATGCATGGCAATGGTAACAAAATCTATGAGAGTAAAAAAAACATGCACAGACAAATCCAAATTAAACCCTGTGGCTCGTGACGACACATTGATGTCCCAAGACACGAAACGATCAGTTTGTGCCAGAAACCGAACCGTATTTATATCATTTTTTACCTCTAATACACCACTATGTCCAACTGTCTTTGGGCGCGCGCACTGCATCCGGTGCGTGAGGCACTGAGGGAATACATCAACTTTCACCGTGGACAAAGCGGAGTCCAGTGTAACCCGTTAGGCGATTTAAGCAGAGGGGTTAACTCACAGAAGGGAATAAGCAATAACTCACTAGGGCTTAAATGATTATTGCAGGTACACTGTAAGTCAATCAGAATCTAATCAGAAGACGCAAGAATTCGTAAGAGGCAAGGCACACACACACATATGATGTTAATGCGCTTATTTATATAGGGTAGAATGACTTTTAGGGGAATTGACAGGATACGCGGTTGAATATGTCGATGACACTACATAAAGGCAAAAACAAGTAAATAAACCAAAAGAAATGCAAACTGAAATAAATGTATTAATCAGCTTTAAAATCTGACTTCCAACCAAATAAAATAACCAAAATGAATTGAAATTAAAACCTTAAACACAGGAAATTATTTCCTCCAAAATAAATTAAATTGTACTCAAATGTTCTATTGCAGGTTTGATACCCTCTTTCTCTTTTTCTTATATACACAACTCAAATATATACTCAAGATCAGCAAATATAAAGTAATAAACCCAAATGTCAGTACTTATATGGAGTCACACATACAAATTCCCACTGTAAACACTTATTTGTACAAAATAAAACTGCATGAATGCGTATCAATGTAGTATCGTAACTCTTAGAATGCACAGTTCAAAAGAAAAATGTCAGTCTAAATAATAACGAATTTATCCTAACAAACCATACATCAATGGAAAGCTCATTTATTCAGCTTTCAGATGATGTCAATCTTCTGAATTTACCCTTATGACTGGTTTTGTGGTCCAGGGTCACATATTTAATGTATTTAGTATGTTTAACACATCTAGAAAAATCTCAAATCTGCGTTCAGATTTGCCTGGAAAACATTTAAAATGTTTTTGAAAGAAGTCTATTATGATCACCAAGACTGCATTTATTTGATCAAAAATACAGTAATATTGTGAAATATTATTACTGTTTCAAATAACTGATTTCTATTTTAATAGATTTTAAAATGTAATTTATTCTTGTGATGCAAAGCTGAATTTTCAGCAGCTCTATATTTTAAGATGTACTAGGTGTTGATAAATCACATGCAATGAATGTAAAGAGCTAATGTCAGGGCTCTCAGTCCTGCTCCTGGAGGGAACAGTTTTATAAAAAAAATAAAACTGTTGGTCACTCTTTCTATTGTTTTTGTTGGTAGTATGACATGAAATCTGTCTAGACTTCCAATTGTGGGTTGATTCAGCCGTCTTTGGCTTTTCTTACAGGTGTCTAGAGGAGCGAGAATCACCACGGCGAGTGCCCGAATCCAAGCTTTATCCACTCCTAAAGCCCTCTCTAAAGATTACATCCCACCCAGAGAACCAACATGGCAGCCCTGAGAAAACAATACAGACCACAAAGCTGTGGTTTCCAGCACATTCATCATCTGCAGTTATTGTATTTTGTCACTTTCTCACCACCTTCCTTTTCCTATCAGGAGCTTGTTGATTGGTTGAGCTCTCGTTGCTTTCGCTCTGGTTTTCTAATCACAGTCTCAGATTTTGACTCTGGACTACTTTTGACTGAAATTGAAGTACTACATTATTCTTAGCCTGCTGCCAAACTCGCCTGGCTCCTCAAACAGGACTCTGTGTTTTACGCCTATAGTGTCTCCAGATTGTCTCTTTTGGATTTCTGTCTAGAAAATGCTTTCTGTGAGAAAATGCTGCAATCTATCAGCATCTGGTTTGAACATCAGTGTAAGTTTTCAAATTTTCTGTGTGCTTTGGCAAGTATTTCAATAGTTACATTGTATTTACTGTTAAAAAAATAAACCACTTTTAAAAAAGTAAATCTTACCATTTAAATATTTGAATTCACTAAGGATTATGCCTTGTTGCACTCTAAAAAATGCTGGGTTAAATACAACCCAGTGCTGGGTAAAATAGGGACAAACCCAGCAATTGTTGGTTAAAAAAGGGTTACTACCCAGAAGGTTGGGTTAAACATTTAACCCAACCGCTGGGTCAAAACAACCCAATTGCTGGGTTTGTCCCTATTTTACCCAGCACTGGGTTGTATTTAACCCAGCATTTTTTAGAGTGTGTGATTCTTAAATTGAATAATTGAAAAGGAGTTACCAGTAACTTAAAAACGGTCATTTTTGCATGTGTTTGGACTCTGTACAGTTGCTCATGTCACTACAGGAGCCAGTTGGACCCCAGATCAGTCCAGTTTTCCTTCTCTCTATCTTTTCCTGCTGTTCTCTCGAAGTCTTTCCTATTCCCATGATCCTCCTCTAACTCTCTCTCTGATCCACGGGTGACAGATTCCACTCGAATCTGTCGAGTTGTCTTGGTAACACACAATGCCACGGCTCTCCGTCAGCCATTCAGTAAACAGATCTAGTTCCTCTCACTGTATTAACTCATCAAACAGAACCGAGTCAGAACTCCATCAGACGGATTTAGTGGTGAAAGACTCATGTGTAAATAACATCAGTGATCAAATGGGGGAGGTATTCCAACATATATGTGACCCTGGACCACAAAACCAGTCCTAAGGGTCATTTTTTTCAAAATTGAGATTTATACATCATCTGAAAGCTGAATAAATAAGCTTTCCACTGATGTGTGTTTGTTAGGATAGGACCATATTTGGCCGAGATACGAGAATATCTGGAATCTGAGAGCGCAAAAAAAATCTAAATATTGAGAAAATTGCCTTTAAAGTTGTCCAAATGAAGTCCTTAGCAATGCATATTACTAATCAAAAATTAAGTTAATATATTTATGGTTGGAAATTTACAAAATATCTTCATGGAACATGATCTATATCCTAATGATTTTTGGCATGAAAGAAAAATCGATAATTTTGACCCATACATTGTATTTTTGGCTATTGCTATAATATACCCATGCAACTTAAGACTGGTTTTGTGGTCCAGGGTCACATCATGTTTAAAATAATAAAACTAAATATTGTAGTTCTGCCTTGTTGTTTGCAACCCAAGTTTTTTATGGTGTTGCAGAGATGTATTACCAACAAGAGACCCCAATTAGAGCCTCAAACAAAGACCAAAAACAACAAACCTGTAGATTATTGTGATGTTTTATCAGCTGTTTGGACTCGGCACCCATTCACTGCAGAGGATCCATTGGTGAGCAAGTGATGTAATGCTACACTTTTACAAATCTGCTCCCATGAGTAAACAAACTCATCTACTGTACATCTTGGATGACCTGAGGGAAGTTGTGGAAGTAAAACTATATATTATAATAATAATCAAATAAAAATAAAGTAGATGGAGAGTCAAGAGAACCAGTCAGTGCTGTGATCTGGCCACCTCACAGGCACGCTAGTCTACCTCAAGAGCTTTTAAAGCCTTTCTAAATCTAAACCGGCGCAGCTGAAATCAGTGAACGCTGAGTGTTCTGATTGGTGCAGGAGGGGGCGGAGACTAGTGCAATCTACCAATGACAATGTGATCTAGTAGCTCACTACATTACGCTCTTTCTTTCACTCATAAGGATTTTTTATTTTATTCACCAAAATTTCTTATAATGCCTAAAAGTTTCACATTTTTATCGAGTTCTAGCTGTATTATTTCAATATCTTCCAGGATATGCCAGGAAACTTGCTGCAGTGTGTTTGTGTTCAGTTTAGCATCTACGCTGCAGTAAAATGAACATGTTTGTTTTTCCGTTGAGGGTGTGGGGTGTTTTTCACGCCCCACTGCTCAAACACACACACACACTCACTCATATACTACTGCAGTCAGCTGCACTCTGCCAATCCATTTAAAAGTTTCCTCGTCTGTCCATCCTTTGCTTACTTGGATGTGTTTAAAGATTTGAATATTTTATGAAATGCTGCCATCAGCGTTTGTCTTCCTGAGGCGTCTCTCTCCTTTCACTGTTTATCACATGTTTAGTCCACTCTTCCACCATCCTTGTCATCAGGATTTCATTTTAAAACCTCTTTTGCTCTCCTTAACACGTTTCAGTTGGTGTCCAGTTTTTCAGATACATTCAGGACAAGCTCCCTGAGAAAATGTACTGTGCTCAGATGTTGCTCTTTCATAGATTATGAAACTTAACTTGAGATATCAGGAATAATTCTTCAATAATTCCTTTTAAGAAACAAATGGTCATACAGTAAATGAAATGTGGCATTTTTATACTAATCTTTGACTTCTGAATGCAGATAATAATTATTATATGAGCAGCGTTTGAGACATTATTGAGATTTCTTTTACACTTCTATTGTGAGACAAATGTGAGATTACTGTGGTCTATTTTTGCTGGAGAAAAACTGAGAAGTAGAAGATGTTAATTTGGTCTCCATTTAATCTCATATTAGTGTCTAGCACAAACAACTGGGATGAAAAAGAGATATTTTTTGTTAATGTTTTAGGTTCATAAATAAAGACATAGGTAAAATGTAACTTTCTCTGCTTTTCAATCTTTCTCAACTCCAAGATGATTCTCCTAATGAGAAAGCAAGCTCTATAATCACTCAACACATGAAATCAAACCCTGAAAATACTTATGTAATTTTTTTTATATATAGGTGCTTACATTTAGTTTATTTAATTACATTTAATAGTTATTAAGGCAATAAAAAATAGGCTATATGGCATACATTTTGCAAAAGATTACAACTTAGATAAAATTTAAAAAATAAAATAAGACCCATATCGGTCTTCAAACTTCAGAAAACATCCTCAAATAAGAAAAGAAAGACAGTGAGATGGTCTACTGAACAAGAGAAAAACAACATGAAGAGCATGAAGATCTTCCATCAGTCCTTCACTGATCCCAGTTCAGCAGGGAGACCTTCTGCTTTCCTCCACTGAGCGTTTCGCATCCTGAACCATTTCTACAGGACAGAGAGAGAGAGAGAGAGATTAGGCTGATCGTAAATCAGGAGATATCATAGCTGAATTTTTATATTTTCTGAAAACTGGAGTGGTATTTGCAATATGTTTTCAATAGGTATGTTAACATGTACCACTTTTTTGTCAATTGGAATAAATCCGATTTCAGATTCTGAAAGCTCTGTTTATATGAGCGCAAGGTATTTTTAAAATAGTCAGATTCAAGTGATTACATTGTTTCAAGTCTAAATTTATTTCAGATCAAGCTCAGTCAGATTAACTGGGGTGTTTGCATAAAGGCTTTTCAATCCGATTAGGCCATCAATCTGATTATAAATGGATTATTTAAATACATGCAAATGTAGCTAATGTTATCCATTTCAACACAAGTTGTAAAACATTTGACTTATGAAACTGAGTAAATATTTCACTTTTACACACACGCACGCACACACACACACACTAATCTTTTAGAGTATCCTAAATTAGCTGATTTTCATAGAAACAGACAGTTGCACCACAGCTCTGAGGTACAATGATCTTTAACACTAGCATCGCAACACACTTGCAAAACTGTCAGTGTTTTACGTAACATACCATGAGAGTATATAAAAAGCTCTGTATAAAATCCCCTTCTTTGGTAGGGCGACCACATATATCCGCTTTTTTCTGATTTCCAAATTACATAAAATGTCCTATTGTTTTCATACTTGCTAAAGGACTGTAGAGAGACCATCAATAGGAAAACAAAGCCATTTTAGGCAATCAAGAAAAATTGTTCACCTAAAAAACACAAACATTCCACTATTTTTCAGCAGAGGAACAGCAAACACTGTGTGCACTGCATTTCTGTGTTTGTGTAACAGCTGAAATCAAGCAGCGCCGCTCATCTTCCCCTCACAGGTTTTAGTGCAGCATGTATAGCGTTTGACTCTGAACACTTAACATCAGAGTATCCACCCATCACTAACCCTACAGTACTTACACACAGAGTCTGTGTTTACTAGCCAACACGGCCAGCAGGCATGACCGGTTTACAGAAAGAGAAAGAGAGGTGTACACCTGTTCCTCATACCGCACCCTTTGCGTTTAAGTTTTCTTAGCATTAAAATAATGCAAAGTGGTGATATCATTTCCCCCAGAACCAGGACTGAGTTTGTTATTCAAACCAATTTTCCCTGAGTCATAATTTGCCTATGAAATAAAGCCATAGATGAGGCACTGCGCTTAGCTTTCATGGTGACATTTTCATGACAATTTTGCACATTTATAGTCTTGAGTAACGATCATATAGGGTTATTGTGGGTTTTGAAAAGTTTTAATTCACGCTTCCACAAATTAAGGCTGTAAATAGTCTTAAAGGGGTCATATGATGCGATTTCAAGTTTTCCTTTCACACTACTGCTGTTCCTGAAACCACGCCTTCTTTCTTTGCACATTTGGGCGCATTATGCAAATATTTCCACATAGTGGGGTAGATATGTGGGGGCGTGTTAGAACGAGCCGTTTTAGGGGGGCGTGGCAGAGTCTTAACTTTGATAAAGAATATCTCTTTGGTTTTGAGACTTTAGTCTTTGCAACTTCAGGGATCTT